ATGCATGGAGGGGATTGGAACCATGGCAATGAAATGATATACGATGGAATGAATGTAAAACTAAAGTTCTCTCATGTAAACTATCATATAATTCACAATAAAACATTAAAAACAAAACAAGTTACCTACAAAGGAGAACTAGTAAAATTATGCTCTGATTTCACAGCAGAAACCATGCAGACAAGAAGACAATGTGATGACATATAGAAAACGCTGCAATAAAAAACCATCAACCAAGAATCATATATCCAGCAAAACTGTCCATCAAATATGATGGCAAAATGAGGATATTTCCAGAAAAGCAGAATTTGCAAAATCTGGACCAAGCTTACTAAAAAACATAAAAGGGAGTTCCTTGGACAGAGAGCCAACAATAGCAAACAACAACATGAGAGTAACTTACATGACAATATAACCCAAAACTCAACCCATTTATAAGTATTCAAAGTAAAACATACCTAGAAGACTGAAAATGGGGAACCAGAGATACCAGTTTGCAACAACAAAACATTAAGTATAAAAAAAAAGGAATAGTGTAGTCACGAACTTACAAATGAAGGAAATCAAGTAGATTTCCAGAAAAAAATTTAAACATAAACCTAACTGGCATTGTAGGATCAGCACTGGACTTCAAACCACAAAGTCAGCAGTTCAAATCCACCAGCTGCTTCTCAGAAACCCTATACAGGGTTGTTACGAGCCAAAATCGAGTCAACAGTACTTAATAACAACAACAATAACCCTAAAATTGGACAAAGCCTTAATCCTAGCCCTAGCCCAAACTCTACCCCTCACATTAACCATAATCCTAACACTAAATGTAGCGCCCACCCAAAAAATAAATAAGTGAAATAAAGGATGCTGTTCATAAACACACACAAAACCAAACTACTGCTGGGGTATACAAAATGCCCAGTGTGAAAACCTGGCCAGGCTTGGTACAGGTGGGTCCTGGGGAGCACTCAGGGGAGGAGGTTATTTCCTGCGCTTTTAAACCAGCTCTGTGGGCAGGTGGCATAAACAATTTCAAGTTCTAACTGCCTAAGCCTCTAAGCCTGCAGAATAAGGCAAAATGGCATCCCAAAATTGTCACATTGGTTTAGGTCAAAGGTTAGAGCTAGTTGATCACAGCGGAGAACTAATGAAAACATATCTGGCTTGGTTACACAACATCTGGTTTTTCTTGAAAAGTTGATAACAGAATTCTAGAAATTCTGAGAATGAAGATCCAAATGTATTATGATTCTTTCAAGTAATTACAAAAGAAGAATGGGAATTCTACCAAATTAATGACTTACCTCAACTAACTACACCACATCCAGCAAGCAAACAAGCATGGGAAGAAGGAAAAATGGGTTAGTCCAGAGTGCAGTTTGCAAAGCATTTGTGCAGAGGCAGTGTGTATCTCCTATGCACGTTCACTCCCTTGTAGAACAGCACTGACCCCATTAAAGTCAGGAAATAAAAGTAAATGGACTGACAGTGAAGAAATGGCGAAGACAATGATGAAGGCTTACTACCACACCTCGGCATCTAGTATCCTTACTGGTCCAGAAAGGAAAGACTGCTCTGACTTCGAGCAAAAGACACTTGGTAGGGGTCACCCTGCTATCTCAGGACTCTGGACTGTCTGTGCTAGAGGCCAACAGATGCAGCAGAACAGAGAAGGTAACACAGTGATTTTAAGCCTGCGTGCTGTGGGATTCCAACTATTCCAGGCTCCCACCTTCACACTTAGAAAATATTTCATCGCTAAACTTCAGTTCCTCAACTCTAGTAGAAATAATGACAATGTCAGCTGTTCAGAGTTGTTAAAAGCATTGAATTAGACATGTAAAGCTTTCAGCATACAATCTACCACAGTGGTTCTTAACTGGGGGCAATTTTGCAACATCTGGAGATGATTTTGGTTGTTACAACTAGAGGAAGGGCTGGGGTACTACCGCATCAAGAGGGCAGAAATCAGAGATAACTCTAAATATCAGCTAATATACAGGACAGTCCCACTGACAAAGAATTATCCATCCCAAAATAACAAGAGTGTTACGATTAAGGAATCCTGGCCTAGTACATAGCAAGCACTTAATGTGAGCAAGAATGATATTATTACTAAAACAATACACCAATTATAATTTCTTTCCCTCAAGGATAATTAGAATCTGTGATTAAAATGATAAAAGACCACACATGTTACTTACTCCACTTCTTGCAATATTGGGTAACAAATCTCTCATTCTGGAAAGAGGAAGAGTGTGTTGCTTGGAGGAGTCTGGGGAACCCAGTAACTTTGTGAAATAGATAACATAGCAGAGCACCAGCACTGTGGTAAAGAAAAGCTGAAAACAGAAAATTACGGGCATAAATTAAACTGTTTTGAATATAGGCAAAATTAAGATTAAAACCAAAAAGAAACGATACCATTGCCATTGAGTTAATTGCAACTCTGTATAGGGTTTCTGAGGCTATAAATTTTTATAGGATCAGAAAGTCTTATCTTTCTCCCATGGAGTGGCTGGTGGGTTTGTACTGCTGACCTTGCAGATAGGAATCAGGTGTTTATCTTACAGTGCCACCAGGGTTCCTTGTCATTAAGATGTTGTTGTTAAGTGCTGTTGAGTTGTTTTCGATTCATAGTAACCCTGTATAGGGTTTCGGAAGCTGTTAATCTTTATGGGAGCAGAAAGCCTCATCTTTTCATCCCACCAAGTGGCTGGTGGGTTTGAAGCAGTCAGTGCTTATCCTGCTTATCCTATAGTGCTACCAAGGCTCTTTATCATTCAGCTAGACTTATAAATTTGACTTCAAAGGCCAATTGATGGGGCCTTGGGTGAAATCCTGAGCCCCATCCAGAACCTTCTGAGTTGCTGAGACATTCCCACTTGAAAAGACATGCAAACCAACCCAAAACTGCTGGGAGGATAGAAGATTCTTATTGAAAGAAAGACCTGCAGAAAAAAACACAACAGATTGTTTGGCTGTTTGAATATCAAGGAAGCTGTTTGCTTTGGAGGCATCAAGGCGAGAAAAGTCAGCCCATCACAGAAAATTCCCTTCTAGAATTGAAACTCAAAGGGAACCTGTGAGAAGTCTAGTATGCTCTGGGTAACTACCTGCAGGATTCAAATTACTTGTGTGTGGAAGTGGGAGAAATACAGCAATGACGACATAGGCTGAGTTTGGCCATGTTCCATTGATACCCATTGACCTTGAGATGAGAGGTCTGGCTGATCTGAAGTTTAGGGAGATGTGTGAGCTCCTGAGTTCATATGCATTGACTTAGCCAGTGGGGGCTAGAGTTGAGAGTGAAACAGTCAGCTAGTGTGAAGTGCGAGGAGGCGCACATGAATTCCCAAACTTGCAGCTAGTACCCATTTGACCTAGATAGGATGGCTAGCTGACCAGAACTCCACCAGATAAAGATAAAAATGCCTGCAACTGTGAGAAAATATAAATTGCTACAATTTGATGAACTGGACCTTTGCTTATGAATGAAGTTGCTCAAAATTTCAACTGAAATAGAAGGATTCTTCCTATCAAGGGTCAAGTTTGTTTCCACAGTGTACTGGGTTGATAGGGGCTGGCAATCTAGACAATGGCTATAAAAAATGGGAGCTATAAAGGCACAAAGTGGCTGGCTTACAAGTTTGCATGAGTGTGCTTAGTTTCAGATTGAAGGGGGTAAGGCAGAATCCCGACTGAATAGTTTTCCTCTTCTCCAGATTGTGTTGTGCTAAGAAGTTGGTTCTGACTCATACCAACCCTATATAGGTTTCTGAGGCTATAAATCTTTATGACAGCAGAAAGCCTTGATCTGGGATGGGGGAATGATGCTGATATGATTTTATGATTCAACTGTGAGTAATTGTTTGCAGGATTAATTGTAATTGTCACAACTGTAATTGTAGAAGCTGTGTAACTAAAAGGGGGCTATAGTTAACCTTTCATTTCAGGAACAGATAATCCCAGGACCATCACGAAGGAAGAACATGAGTAGAGTGTGAGATCCTACCTAGAAAGGTGGCAACAGCAGGGATGGTGGCAGAGGAGAATGCATGGAGCAACTTCAAGTTCTAGGCCCATGGACTAGGTTATGTATGTACTTGCAGGCAGGAGGCTTGCTTGCAAAATATACCTTAGGACATTTAAATGATACATATTTTTGGTTTTGTCTGTGCACATCAAATATTTTTGCTCTGTTCATTTGTGAAATATAAAATGTAAAAGGGAAGCTACAGGGAGGAAGCAGGATAACTGTTGTTACAGGGAGGGGACTGTAATTACTGAGATGAAACAAAGCATATAATTTGTTGAATGGAAAGCTAATGGATCTTGTCTGTTACCCTTCACCTAATTCACAATAAAAAGTTAAAAAAGAAAGACTACGAAAGTGTGTAGAAACTTTTTTTAAAAAAGGGAGAGGAGTAGGCAATTGAGAGATAGAACTGCTTTTTAACTGCACCAAGTAACACTTGGCCCTCTGGAAAATAGTATTGTGCACTAGGACCCATCTCCAGAGAAGCATTGCTGGGGAAAATGTTGCAAACACTTCACCTAACTGGAAGGACAGAAATTCTTCTGGCAAGCAGGACATACTTTCCATGATAGACACCCACTAGCTCAACAGCCATAGTAATGTCAGATCCATTATCAAAAGATTTGTATTTAGCACTCCGTGAGAATCTATGTGTCCTCAACATGCTCGTATGCAGGAATGTGCCTTCATCTCAGACTATGGAGTTTCCATAAACCCCGGAAACCTGGGACATTCATGATTACAAAGCAGAATTGAGCTCCTGGCTCTCTGCTCTCGGACCAGTGTCTGGGCAGGGTGAGAGTTACTACAGGATAGGGGAGGGAAGGGTGCCATGATAAGAAGGTCCCACCCCTTCCTCCACCCATCCGGAAGAAAAGGATGGCTTCTGGCCAGGAGCAGCTGCGTGGGCTTTTGTTTCTAGGTTAAACAGTAGTATCCAAACAAGCTTCTTCACTAGCTCCCTTCTCTCCTCTTTCCTCCAGAGAACAGCAGTGCACACTAGCTCAAAAGGAGCAGTACCTCTAGGTCCCACATTCCACCTGAACACACTGATGCCGTGCCTGTCATCAACGAACAGATCAAGGCTCCTCTGTCCTCCTCTCCATCCATGTCTGAGGACAGAGCCCACCATACATCCTTCTTCTCTTGGGCCTCTAGTCCTTGAAGACATACCACATGGTCAGAAGCCAACATCCTCTGTGACAAGGAAGTCATTCCTGCCTCTATCTTCCTGCTGACTTTGGGAGACCCTCTTTTTTATACAGGAAAAATTCACATTTTAAAGTAAACACTTCAGTGGTATGTACAGTAGTACATTCCCAATGTTACCATCACCACTGTCTTGTTCCACAGAATACCTTTTGTGAATCACAAAAGGAAATCCTGTACCCACTCGTACTCACTCCCCATGACCCTTTCCCCTCAATTCCTAATTTGCTTTCTGCCTCTATGAACTTGACTATTGTGGATACGTCATATAAATGGAACCATACAATACGTGATCTTTTGTGTCTGGCTTCTTTCACTTTTCATAATGATTTCAAGGTTCTTCCAAGCTGCAGCATGTATCTGTACTTCATTAATTGTTATGGCTGAATAATATTCTACTGTATGGATATACCATTTTGTTTACCCATCCACTAGGTGACAGACATTTGGGTTGTTCCCATCTGTCAGTTACTGTAAATAGTGCTGCAGTGAACCCTGTTGTGCACGTATCTGTTTGAATCCCTGCTTTCAGTTCTTTGAGGTATACACCTACTCACCTAACAGTAATTCTATGTCAAACTTCTTGAGGAGCCACCAAAGTGCTTTGATGTTCAGCTCTTTTACCTCCTCATTTCTTCAAATTGCTTTAGCTTCTCTACACTAGAGAGCAAGTTTCAGAGTCTCTTCTGACATCCATTTTGGTCTTTTTCTTCTTTCTTGTCTTCTTAATGACCTTTTGCTTTCTTCCTTTGTGATGTTATAGATGTCATCCCACAACTCTTCTGATCTTTGGTTATTAGTGTCTAATTCATCCAATCTGTTGTTGAGATGATCTCTAAATTCAGTTGTGATATGTTCAAGGTCATATTTTGGCTCTTATGGATTTGTTGTAATTTTCTTCAGCTTCAGCCTGAACTTCAGTATGAGCAATTGGTGGTCTGTTTCACAGTCTGCTACTGGCCTTGTATTGGCTCATGATACAAAGCTTTTCCATTTTCTCTTTACACAGATGTAGTCAATTTGATTTCTGTGTATTCCATCTGGTGAGGTCAATGTATACAGTTGTCTTTTATGTTGATTAAAAAAGATATTTGCTGGCAGAATTGACATACGTATGTACACAATGAATGGAATTCAAAAACTTCATGGAAAAAAAATCCCATTATTTTTTGTTCCATTTTCCCACACTCTTAAAGCTCCCTTGTATATATATATATACTGATAATAAATAGATAGACTCAAATTTTGGGCATTGATGATATTAAGTAAACATTGCAAAAGCTTCAATTTTAAAGACTAAATTGTTAAAGATAAATTGTTGTTGTTGTTAAGTGCTGGCAAGTCGATTTTGACTCAAAGTGACCCTGAATAAGGTTTCTGAGGAGTAGCTAGTGAGTTTGAACTGTTGACCTGGAAGTTCAAACTGACCTTGAGGTCAAGTGCTTATCCTACAGCACCACACCAGGAGTCCAAAGATCAACAGTGAGATGGAAAAATATTTTCTGGATGTAAATACAATATTTTGAGGAAGACAGTAAATTAAGCAGAAAATAAACTATTGTGCTATTTTAATCTTTTTCTACCTTGAACAAAAGAAAACATAAAAGATAATCATTTTTATTTTAACAGAACTCACCTAAAATTATTTCTCAGGAGAGTTTTATATTAGCTGTGAATTTTTAAACCATAAATAAGTACCATTTATAAACCCTAAAAAAAAAAAAAAAAAAGTATTTGTAATGAAGAAGTCATTGATCTTACAAAATTCTATCATGTCTGAACTCACCCAGAATCATCTGAGGTGAAAAATTTCCACTTGAAAGGACAAGCAGACCAACCTGGAGCGACTAGAAGAACAAATGATACTTCTTGAAAGAAACACCAACAGGAAAAATACAAAACAATAACAGCAGTCTGAATGATTACCACAAGAACAAGCAAGTTGCTTGCCCAGGAGACATCAAGGCAAGTGGTCAGGTCCCCTCAGGGCAAACCCCTTCTAAGACTAAGACTCAATGGGAATATATGAGCAGAAATGCACTCTGATTGGTGACCACGCTCGTCACCGATAAGGGGAAGTGAGGAAAAAACAGC